GATATTGCTATCATGTATTCTTAAAATTAAACTTACACTCGATATCTATTATTGGATTAAGGAAACGTGTCCCTAAATGATATTAGGAGTCTCATATAACCAATGAAATAAAGGATCATAGTAAATAAGGCTATGTTGCATAGCACATATGCATAAGAGCACGTGCATTCTCAAATTATCTATTTGGAGGTTTTTTTTCTAAAGCTGATATTAATAATGCATCCTCTAAATGCTTTCAGAGCTATCCAGAAATCAAACTGCTATCATGATCAAGGTCACAAGGCTACCTGTGGATATGAAAGTACTAGGTATATGGTAATATTTGGATTAATCCAAGTTATAGTGTCTCAAATTCCTGATTTTCCGAATATGAAGTGGCTCTCCGTAGTTGCTGCTGTCATGTCCTTCACATATGCAATTATTGGATCAGCACTTGGCTTAGCCAAAGTAATAGGTAGGTTACCTTTTTGCATGCCTTTATAGTCCCAAAATCTTCATAATAACAAGCATGTGCAAGCCTAGCATCTCAGGTAATATAGATGATCAAACTTGCCATTATCTTAAAATTCCATTCTGGAATCTTGATATGCAGAAAATGGAGAAATCAAAGGCAGCATTACAGGACTGCCAAGTTCTACAGCTGCTGAGAAAGTGTGGTTGGTTGCTCAAGCACTCGGGAACATTGCCTTTGCCTTTCCATTCTCTCTTATATTTTTGGAGGTTCAGGTGCTGCAATTTGGCTTTCTACATTAAATAATTTTCTTAATCAGCATTAAGCAGCACTAAGCAATTAATGAAAACTTCCAAAAAGATGTAGGACACATTAAAGGCACCTCCTCCAGAAAAGATCACCATGAAGAAGGTCTCAATAATGGCATCCTGTGTTACAACTTTTTTCTACCTTTGCTGTGGAGGATTTGGTTATGCAGCCTTTGGTAATTCCACACCAGGGAACCTCTTGACAGGATTCGGTTTCTATGAACCATATTGGCTTGTAGACTTTGCTAATGCATGTGTTATTCTTCATCTTGTTGGTGGATATCAGGTACGTTTACTCAAGTGTTCTGTCAAAGTCTTAACATTGTAGCCCCATGTTTTTATTCTTATACAACTTTTACACCTTCACCTCCTAACTTGTTCGGAACTAAGGCGTAGTTGTCATTGTTATAGCTTCTATGCTTTCACAATCTTTTTAACAGAATAACTCTTCCTTGTTAGTGGATATCTTTACTTTTGACATCTTCTTCTTCTAAACTTAAAGTGTCCCACATTGGTTGAGGGAATGGGTTGTTGTCTCCTTGTATGATCTCAGAAATATCCTTACCTCATGAGCTAGGTTTTGTTCTTGAGTTAGACCGCAAGTCCTTTTTCTTTACAAAGCAAATCCATTCTTCTTGTTGTGTTTCACAATATTGAGCCCCTAAGTCTCCTTCTATCATTTTGACAATTCTCATCTCACTAGCTAGCTTTTTTTTTCAGTTACGCCCATGGGCAAGCTAAGGGGACGCAGGGGGTTCAACTGAATCGCATAGTAGATGTTGAATCACCTTGATTTCTTTGTCTTTACTTCTTTATATTTTGGATTCCCTTAGTGAAAATTCTAGCTCCATCATTGGTTGCCTAAGTTATATTTTCTTTACAAAACTACAAATTACTTTCTTGTAGTTGATCTTTTTCTGTATTGACTTGAATATGCTTTACAGGTTTTCAGCCAGCCAATATTTGCAGAAGTTGAGAGATGGTTTGCCAGAAAATTTCCAGATAGCAAGTTCGTTCACAAGAATCACACTCTGAAACCTCTATCAATGCTGTCATTTAGTTTGAATTTTATGAGATTATTCTTCCGAACAGCGTATGTTGCAATAATGACTGGGATTGCTGTATTGTTCCCTTACTTTAACCAGGTCGTAGGGGTGTCCGGAGCAATAACATTTTGGCCTATCGTCGTTTATTTCCCTGCAGAGATGTACTTGACTCAGAAAAGAATTGAAAGTTGGAAAAGCAAAGCTATCGCGTTTCGCGTCTTTACAATGGTATGTCTGGTTGTGATATTGTACGCATTTGTTGGGTCTATTAGAGGAGTGATTGTTGCTAGGTTCGGGTAAAAATGCTTCTTCACATCCCTTCTAGAGCCAAGGGTGTGTCGGAAATAGCCTCTCTACCTTTCAAGGTAGGGATAAGGTTTGCATTCACGCTATCCTCTCCGAACCCCACTTGTGAGATTATACTAGATATGTTATTTACAGATGAATTCTTAATAGTTTTAAAATGCTGATTATGTAAACAATGCTTTACATTTTCAACAACCAAATTTATATTATGAAGTGTACACTACATCCCTTCGCTGTATACCCCTCTAGGCTTGATAAAATCAGCACAGCTTGCTGCTGATCAATCAAGCTCCTCCATTGATGGAACTTGAACTCACATGAGAAAAGAGAGAAGAAGAATTGCATGAAATTTGTATTTTCATTTAATGTGAATTAAGAGAGTAACTACTACATGTGATTCTATATATAAAAATACAGAAATTAAAGCTAGCTAACAAACTATAACAAAAATTGACTTCCCTGTAACTGACTCTAACTAACAGTGAACAGTACTAACTAACTTTGGGACTAGCTAACAGTAATAACTAACTTATATTCTCATCGCCCCCCTCAAGTTGGAGGTAAGTGAGTTTATAGACAACTTGTTTAACATCGTAGTATGCTTAATTCCAGTCAGAGCCTTTGTAAAAATAGTACCGGATACATCGCAAGACAATATGTATAGTGATTTTACATTTCTACACAAAATAGTAACAAGAAGTTCCAGAAAGAGAAGCAATCATTATAAATAAAGAATTAGAATTGAAATAATCCTTTCTAATTTGAAAAAATCTATAAATGATAAAAATCTTACAAACAAACAATTGAAGATGGAAAAAGAAGGAATTTTACCATATGAGTACGTAGATATGGTAGTAGAAGAATTCAAGATAACAAATTTGTATTTGGTAGTGATATATATTGATTTAGCTACAACTCTTTATATTCTTTAATTTAATATTAAAAGGAGGAAAACTTGATTCATGTACTTATTTAATATTCTAGAATTCCTAATTGACTCTTGATCTTCTACATTCTCTTCCTAATAAATAACTTACAATTCAAAAAATAATTAAAATAATATTATTTAATTAATTAGATGTTTAATTTAGTCTAGGGGTAAAATGGTAATCCAATTTTTCATCTTTGAAACTTCCCACTTATAATAATAAAATAATAATAATAATACTAGTTTTTGAAAACGTGTGTTGCACGTTTATTCCAAACAATAATGTATTAATCTCATATTTTTCACGCAATCAACAAATTTTAAAAAGTTCAGAAATTGATATTGTAGAACATAAAAAAATTTGTTATAAAGAAATAAGAGATTCTTACCAAACAAATATAGTTAATCATTGAACTTATCACATATAATTATAGTTATACACTATATGTTGTCCTATATTTATGATTTATATGATGCCACCAAAATTGAGAGAAGGAAAAAATGGCACATAAACACAACTAAATATGGTAATACACAGATGAAGATTGAATCAAATAAAAGAAAAGATTTTGAAATTAATAATTAAATACTACCATTTCTTATGATTTATAAGATATTGTCCAATGCTTAATTTATAGTTTGCAAGTCCAATTTTTTCCTTCATTCAATATGAGAGAATGAAAAGATAAAATTTTAAAATTTAATTTGTAGAAATGAAGAGTCTTGAAACCATAATCTTTTCATTTTCACCTTTCTTAATGTTTTTCTCATTTTTTTGCAGTTAAAAGTTGATTCAAAATTGTACTTTAACATCTTTTCACTTTTTGTATTTCGTATAATATATATGATATTGTTTACTATTTAATTAATTAGATATTTAATTTAGCATAGAGGTAAAATGATAATTCAACTTTACACTTTGAAGCATAATGAAACTTAACATACCTAATTTGCACAATTTAAACAAGATGAAATAAAAAATTTAACATGAGAAGCTACAGAGTCCTTAAGAGAAGAGTATCAACAACTTTCTTCACTCGTAGAAATTTTAATCTTATTTATTAATGTATCTTGTTTACTCTTATTTATTAATTATTTGTATCAAATAAACAACAAAGCCAATGTGAGACTTGTGACTTTGCTTCATAGTATAACTTTCTGACTACAATTTTTGAGTCATCATCTTTCACACAACATATTTAAAAGCATATGAAACACTACTATAAAGAATTTCTAATTCATAATTTAATCCCACATCTTCTCTATTAAAGTGCAGAATTACAAAAATGAAAATTCTTGACATATAATTCAAGAGATTATCACCAAAAGCCTATCAAAAGACAAAAATAATTGCAACCCAACAAACCTATTTATCATAATATACAAAGCGAGAAAATAAATGGTTAATTTATACAAAAGGGAAAAAGGAAGGGATTTTCAGCAAGACAATTGCAAGGAGTATTAGTAAAACATGTATAGGACACAATTATTATTACAACCCATCCTAAAAGAAGTATCATATAAATCCAAAAATTAATAAACAATATTAATACATAAATTATGGGATTACAACCGGCATATTTTTTATACCCAAATAAAGATTCATACAATTATCAAAACCCAAAGAAGCATAATAATTTTTTGCACCAACATTCTCATACTTGGAACGACTTGCTATGGAAAGGATCAATTCGGCATCAAAATAGACACTTATGAAAAGGTTTTCAAATCTAAAAGGATTGTTGAGAAGAGAAGGAGAAGAGCAATTCTCTATGCTTGAAGAAACAAATATATAAAATTGTCTTATGATTGTTTTTCTAACATTGTTTTCTGTCAAGAAATTAGATGTTTGAGTGATAATTTGATTGATCAATGTATATATTTTTCTATGCAAATTTATAGAATGTTGTAAAGAATATGAAAAAGCTATTACTAACATGGAAGATGAAAGAAACAAAACATTAAAATTGAAATAATTACTGGTGATAACTAAGCAATTCAAACATTTAATAACTGTGGGAAGATGAAACAATTTTCTACATTCAAATTCAATGTAGAAAATGAATGATTTTCTGTCTAAAAGTTTTTTTTTTTTTTGTGTACGAACAAAATTGTTAATAAAAATTTGTATGGGGCATTACTTTTGCCTAACATTCTTCCCACTTATAGTATAATATGATGATATCTCTCATGTAAGGCACACCATGAATGTCAGGCAAAGTATGATGAGGATGATGATGTATCAGCCAGGACCTGCAAAGATGTCACAAATGATCTTGTTAGCTAAGAAAGCACCAATCATCAATTATAGAGGTGGCTTGCTGAACTACTAAATTCTTCTAGTAGTTTTGCCAAAATCTCTGATCCCCATCTGCAACTAGGATTTGATATAATAAAAGTTGAAGTCTTTTATAGAAAATACTTCTTTTCACACTAAACAAGTAACTAGTTTTGGACGGAATCCAATACAGAACCCTATAAGAAGTCAACAATGTCGTACCCATGGATCTAAATTTTGACTTTTCCCTTACTTGTATGTCAATATTTTGGTTAAAGAATTAGATTGGAGAGGAACCTACATCAGCTAAATGTACATGTGAACCATACCTCAAGTTGATCTTCAGTGAAGGAATCTTTCTGAACGTTCCATGTGTCCGCATGAGTGCGTCGAAATTCTGCCACAGCTTTTGTCACGGTAGATTTTACAGGTGATGATTCAGAAACAAATTGAGCCAACAGTGTAACGTGTTCTGGCAACCAACTGCGATAAAATTTGGCAATTCGTCACTAATGAGAAACATTTCTCTAGAGTAATCCATACTACTGGTAATATCTAAGTTTAATAGTAGTATACAATGGACCATCTCAAAAAGAATAATGATATCTTTCTACATCTAGAAATAATTTAACTTTAAAAGAATTATATTTTGAAAAGGTAATAATTGTATTTGTAAACAGCACAAAGTCAGTGCTGGAATTTCTCTACAGTGAGCAAAAGCACCAAAATAGAGCATTGCCCTCTTCTAATCCTTGAGAACCTCTATGAGTTCTAGCAAAGCTTCTGCCTCATTTACATATTCCTTTTTACAACAAAAGTGAAATAACACAATACACTCTTAACTAATAGACTGATTTGTGTTTTTTTAATGAGATGATTTATAGCCACACAAATATTCTTGGCTTGTTTTACACAACAAGTTTCAAAAGTTTTTCTTCATTTCTTTCTTAAACCTCATGCATAATCAAACAACATCACGTAAAACAATACAGGAGACAAATACAGTATTTCCATCAAGTATTAGAACTTATAATTCTCTAAATTAAAGAAAAAACTTGCTTCTATAATTTTTTTGTTTTCTTTTCTTTTAACAAAACTTAGTTATATAATTAAAACCAAAAAATCGAAAAAGAACGACACTAGCTAGCAGCTACTATTCAATACATTGAGTGGCATATGAAACTTGACTAATAAAATGTAATGCATGGAAAGTAACTTGACACTTTTGTATTAACAAAATTACTAACTCCTAATTTGAAAGTTGTGAATGTCAAGCTACATTCAAGTAGATATAACAAAATAAAATTGATTAGGTAATACAATGGAAATTTAAAGCAATATACCATGTGGAAAAAAAGTTGACGTCTTGTTAGTGACAATTATGACCCCATACTTAGGAATGTGAAGTCCATAAACATGATTATCCTACACTTCTGTAAAGACTGCTTGAAAGAAACTGTCTACTAGAATATTTCAAAACGTTAAGCACGATCTCCACACATACTTGATTAATTTGGACCAGCATAAGTTGATCAATTTAATATTTTATCATATTGCTGGCCCTAATCATCAGGGTCATCTCAAACGCTATTTAAGTTCCATTTCGTTTTATTTTACTTCATCTTTTGTGACAAGTTAAAATGTTGTTTATCATTCCTGCAGTGGATTGCTACTTCCAGGAACTTCCTAGGATAGCACTTGGTCATATATATCTTTGAACATATGAGTTTATGTTATGTAATGGGCGGTGTGCCTGGGAATATTATAAGAAACTGATAGTGAAATATATCTTGAATATATGAAACTATATCAGACAACTGACATACCTGGGAATATCATAAGGAACTGATAGCACGCAAGCAGCCAAAGCAAGTATCTGTCCATGTAGGGATGCTACAGAGAATCCAGAACGCATGCTTCTGCAATAGCAATTTTTTTTGAGAATGGTAACACATTATATGTGTATATATATAACCATCAGCACAACAATTGTGTTGCAATACAAAATGATAGTTATATCATCCTTGTTCTTCTTACAAGGATCCTAACACTACTATGTTTGCAAGAAAATCTACACATACAACATCCGGTGACATGTATGATCCTTCTCTTCCTACGATTCTTGGTTTTCAGTATCGCTCCCCTAGCTGCCAAACACACAAAGAAACACACTTTTCTAGGTGCCCTAGGTATCTAAATCGATTAGTCGCTTAATTAATGTTTGTGTAATATCTTGTAATTTTTAGCTCCTACAAAACCAAAACAATTCACAGGAATTCTTTTAGTAGAATTTTGCACATAATTATTATATATATGCGTCTTGAGCAATCATATGCAGAAAGGCTTGATCTCTCTACGAATCATCAGGAAGGACTTAACAAGCACATGCCAGGTGCATGGTGCCAGCATATTGTTAGAGTGGGTTAAAGTCCCACATTGGTTGCGGAATGGACCGGTGGTCTGGACTTGGGCATTCATCCCCTCATGAGTTAGCTTTTGGGGTTAAGTTAGGCTCAGGTGTCATATCTTTACATGGTATCAGAGTCAAGTCCATCCCCACCACTTGGGCTCCCGGTCCATGCTCCAATTGGGCCCCCGGTCCATGCTCCAATTGGGCCTAGGAGTGAAAGGGGGCACTATAGTGTGTTAAGTCCCACATTGGTTGGAGAATGGACCGGTGGTCGGCTTATATGGACTTGAAAATCCTCCACTCATGAGCTAGTTTTTGGGGATGAGTTAGGCCCAGGTGTCATATCTCACATAATAAAGACAAGCTTAATCTCTCTAAGGTTATCATCACTAATGTAACAAGCCCATCCCAGGCGAATGGTGTTAGAATATACAGATAGGTGCGACCTCTCTAGGATGATCATCAGTAATGACCCAACAAATAATAAAAGCACAGTAATAATAACTAGCCAAAATTGAGTAAAACTAAAACAATAAAAGAACCTTTGTTTTCTCTTCTTCTGAATGATACTTGCTTCTGTATAAGCTCTGTGACGGAAATCCTGGGCTAAATCTTCATCTCCACCCTTCATTAGGCCAGCCAAGACTGCTGCCGCATGCTCTCTTACCTGACCAAAATGTTCAGAAGAATTCAAATGAGTCTCTTTAAATCACCATAATCTCCATATCTAAGTAATCAGGGAGAACTAAAGCTATTTTTATAATCAAAAGGATAAAACATGACTACTTGAAATGCACCTGTCTTGTTTCTTAGGAAATAGCAATAAATGCATTAACACTTGCGAACATGTTAAGATTTCATCTTGCAAATAAGAAGCATGCAAAGCAGGTCCAACTTCTACAAACAGCAAGAATGTCTTAACTAATTGTTTCTTATTTGATGTGGGATGTGACATCATATTTCTCCTGGTTGAAGTCCTGATGTCTAATTAGACACAAGCATGGACCACCAAGGCAGTTCTAGAGATGGAGGCTCCCACCACTTAGTAATGGGAGCATGAAGCCTTAAGTAGAATGGGGGTGCAATAATCAATTGTAACTTCAAGCAAAAGGACTTTCAGACACCAAGCAACTTAAAAGCATAATAATCTCACTTGATCTGAACAGGAAGGGTTGAAAAAGGACTATAATCAAACACATAACATCTACTACCTATAAGCTCATGGTACTATTTTAAGCACATGACACACTTACATGCTACAGCAATAGAAGAGGAACGGCCACATGAAAAATGGATGAATTTGATAATACCATAAAGAATTGAACAAGACATAGGATAAGCCGGAGTGATCTTTGAAAAAAGGTTGTCTTTTGGTGCATCAAACATATGATAGGATAGACAGAGGTAAATTGTATTCTATCCTAGCCTTTCCTATTCGATGTAATCAAACATGACCTAGTAAGTTTAGGAAATTAAAAAAGCTACCTAAATAAGCTTCGACCAAGCACCACCAGTTAATTCCGCTTTGGGTCCACCCCTTACTCCACCATTATTATAGGGGTATGGGGTTTGAGAAATCAAGAATGTATTTGTTCTAGATCAACCATTGAACAAAACAAGCAAAGAGCATCAAGAGATCTACTTACTTTCTCCAAGACTAAACATCATATGATAATGCACAACATTTTAATTATTTACATATAGTTGATACCATAAATATTTCAGCTAAAATTTATGTGAACTTACCTCAACTTGATTATCTGTGAGTAGCTTCTCAACAGTTTTCCAAATTTGTTGTTTGTCCACCTTAGAGAGGACGAAAGTGTGCCTGTATGGTGCAACAAGATAGCAACTCATTTATTTAGGATAGTACAAGTTTATTTTTGCATTACTTAGCTATTCTAGACCACCGTAACACCTGAAGACTGAGTTTGAAATAAAAATGACAATGATTCAGTTTAAAGTGATGATAACAATACTTTTTTCTTTCAAAGTACCTCATTTTCTCTTCAAGAACCAAAATAAGGATTTTTTTCCTCAAAGGAGGAGAAAAGGAGCGAAGATCAAAATGGAAAGATCATACCTATACATGAAACTCCGCAAATAGGTCAGAGTCGTAGATCTTGTGCGCCAATTGGTATCATTGGCTATAGAAAGAATGGTGAGTACAACTTTCCTTAAATGGGACTCTGAATAAACTCTCCACTTTAGCAATTCAAAAGCTACTTTGGCCAGTGTCGACAAATCCTTATTTGACGTCTCCTACAAAAAATCAACAGTATCAAAAGAGAAATGCACTTCTATTATAAACATCTCCAATGAGAATATATTAATTTATATAGTGTATCAATTTCTTCACGTGTGTAACAGCTGCAAAAATGTCAAGAATTTAAATTTTCAGTATCATTCGTTTGAACGAAATTTCAACTAGGATTTACTTCATATGTAGATATAAATCAAGACTAAAACTGAACGAAAGAATTAGAGAACTAAACATGCAGATTTAATATGGTCTGGGATGACATATACACGGAAATATCACCATAACATGAAGGGAGCAGACACTCGCAATTCTCCTACTTTGTACAGGATACAAGTTCAATGGTCATGGCTCGTGTACCAAGCATAAAACCATGGGAAACTAACGATGGAGATGCCTTGCAGTCAGAATTTAATCCAGACATGAAACTCTTCAACAAGAGTCTTTTCAATTTAATCCTTTCTTGTTGATATACAGTAGCTCCAGTCAGTTAAGGGAAAAGGTCAGTTTAGTTGAAGACTCAGAGAGAGATAAGAATCAAAACTCGGCAAGGAGAAGTTTATGTGACAATAGTTTAATGCAATAATTCTTATATTGATTAATGATGTGGCTATACCTTCCCTAAAAGCTATGTTGTTAAAGTTGAGAGATTTATTTCTTTAAAGATTTCATCAACACCACTGATATGCAGGCTTAACTTCTATAGGCAAGTAAGGATGACGAATAGGAACGGAAATCAAACCTGATTGGTGTCACCTCATCTAAAATTTTAAGCCCTTAAAGAGAGGAGATATTTAGTTATTTTCTTAGGTCTCAACATTTCGTACACACTCATTTGTAAAAGCTTGAACAAGCTAGAAAGCAGTAACTCGAAAAAACTATCTTAGACACCAAATGATGAGAGGAAGAAGAAGAAAAAACATGTAATATTTCAGCGTTATCAGCCTATTAACTTGGCTCACAGAAATTCCTCTTATCTTTCAACTATGGAAACAACTAACTCCAATCATCTATTTCCAATAATATCCTGCCTTCATAGATTTCTCCATCCTCATCACCAAAGAAAGGCAGTCTTCTAGTTCCAGCAGTATAAATATGTAGTTGGTAAAAAGAGAAGAACAACCAGCCAAATGTGAGGAACGGCAAGAAATAGCAGTTAAAAACAAGAAAAATACAGAAAACTTAAAGTCTAGCCTTTTGACCATGAGATAAACAAGATGCTTCTCATCAATTTTGTCAAAAATCAAAGTCAAAGTTTGTTCTTTAAGAGATCTCAGTCACAGGAATTGACGAAAAACAAAAATCAAAGTTTCTTTTCTCCAAGAGACCTCAGTTACAAGTTTTACCATTTTCATCCGTAAATGGAGGGGAAGTGTATATGCCAAGTTCTTCAAACAGTAATTTCATCCCTTCAAAATGTCAAAAACAACTAAAAAGACAAGCAACAGGAATGATGCGATGTTGCAACTAACCTGTAGAGATATTACAGGATACAAAAGACCAACAACAACATCCAGCAGAACCGAGGATCTTCCTGACTTTAGAGATGAGATAATGAAATGAAATAGCTGCACATCACCAAAACAAGCTAATCAGCAAAAGGTCTTAGGAGCAAAAAGTCCAATAGATGAGTTGGCTGACTGTACCGTCTCCATCCATTTAACATCATCATGAGACTGTTCGGTTGATACTCCATTGTCAGAAATTATGTCCGATTGCACATCCAGAGTATCTGACTGGCTAAAACTTTGGATCTTCACCACAAGCTCAGATGCACGTTCTACTAGATAATGATCCCAATTCCCTGCTTCAACTTTCCTGTTCACATTACTTGTCCCTACTTCATGTGGATGAACTTGATTGCAGGACACCTGGAGCCGAATGTTTGAGCATAAAACAGAGAGGGTGACACCAATGGATTCCCTCACCTGTTCCAGAAATTGTATCATTATCTGTCACCACAGAGACAACAAACTCTACAGAAGACTTTGAAGGGGGTTGGTGAAACTGTGAAAGGATCCATTCCTTTTTCTGGGGTGGTCAATTTTACCAATTTCCCTTAAACATAGATTAATTTGTCTTTGAAAGATAAACTTTTTTGTTAGAAACTAGATGAGAAGAACAATAAGTTACAATGTTCTCGTTTACAAATGAAGAAATTTTCTTAAACAAAAATAAAATAAGAGATGACATTATACATTAAAAAATTGTAGTCAAAGATCTTTCTTTGTGAACAGGAGTCAAAGAATACCTTTTTTATTCTCAAAGTTCAACAACTTTGGATACAAGGAATATAATGAAACTATGAATCGAGATCAGCTCAAAGATATAGCCTCAATGTATGTACAACTTGGAAAGAAGAATGGTCAAAGAGAATGTATGTGGCGGTCATAATGCCTTTGAGATTAAAAGAGAGGAAGCACAAAAACAATGGGATCAAGATCAGATGTGGAGCCATAACCATGAGAAGAGCCAAAAGGTTATTGAAAAATATATTTTAAAAGATCTTAGAAGGGACCCAACAATGATGCTCAGAGCTGAACCTATTGATCTGGAAAAGCTGAGACTAACAAGCTTGTCTTTCCGGTAGAACAACTGAGAAGAACCAGCTCAACTTGTAAAACTAAAACTGGTCGAGAAGGAAAGATTCTATCAAGCAAAGCAACTCATCAAAGAGGTATGCAATTTGAGTTGATCAACAGATAAACTTATGCTATCTTTGGCAATCAATTCAAATATCAAATGGCTCATGTAACCAAACAACTCTTAACATAACCAGAAAAATAATAGAGAAAACTGAAAATAATAAATTGTGATCCCAAGCATAAAATCGAAATGTTGAACACTCACTTGTGGAGATGAATGGCTCATACTGCCAAGCAATTCTTCAAGAAGCTTATAGTGAAGTGCTAGTTCAGTAACTGGCATTTTTGGTGGGGAAACTTCTATTAGTGCAGCTGAAAGAAACATGTATCGCTTGGCAACTACAGTAGTACTGACTGTTTCAGGCAAGGGGTTCATTAAACAGTCCATGACCTTTTGTCTCAAGAGTGGAATTTTTGTTCCATGTTTTCCTTTTCCAGTAACTGCATAACGAATACAAGCTGCCCACTCAGGTATGGACTCAACTGTTGGTGCTTGAATAATACTCTGAAAATGGGTCATCAACCAGCTATCCCATGCTTCTGAAACACCGAAAACATCAGAATGTAGCACACCTGCCACTGCCTCAGCAGCAACACACTGCTTTGTCCTCTCCTTTGCATTTATGTAGTCTGCTAATGCATCTTTTAGTGCCAGTATAACAGGAGCACCACATTCCTGTACTAGACGTTTAAAAATTCGGGCAAAGCTCGAGTAGAAAGTGTCATTTCCAAACAAAGATATCCAATTGGGAGTACGGGGCCATGATGAAGAAAATTCAAAATAAAAACGAGTAATGGATTTGTCAGCCACACTCTGAAATGAAGAGGTTCCATGATTTCCTTTAGAAGAAGCACCATCAGTGTCAATTATATGAACATGAGAAAGACTATTCAGGGTTTCATTGAAAAAACCCTCTTCCTGGAATATATTACTTAAAGCTTCTTCGAGAGAAGACTTGGATTTATCCTGCCGGTTAGTAGAGCAAATGGGTCGGTCCTCAGAGAGCTTGTAAGGTGATTCTTTCAGCAAAGTATTTAGAGCTGAGATTGCCAAAATTCTTGTCTGCGGTAGTTGGCTTTTTAAACTATGTAAGAAGTGACCTGACAAGATTAATCATAAGTTGAGAATTTCTCAAAATCTATACGTAAATTTAAACATGAAACATAATGCTGCTTACTTTAGATCACAAAAGAAACACAGTAATAAAGGTGAATTGAAGATGGCAATCATTTTGACTGCTTGTTATGATAGATCATATTCACGGAACAAGAATACTATAAGGAGAAAGATACTGACCATAAAAAACAAAAAACAATAAAATACTAGAAGGAGTTCCTATTTCTACCCTATTGAGGGAACAAGAATACTAGCAGAAATGTTCAACTAACGAAATGCACTGAAGCAAAACCCATGGACAAACTTAACTAACCAGCAGTTTCACTCAGAATTTTGGAGGACGAGTTAGGATCATTTCTGGAAGCCATAGCCAACAGCAGCAGTACTCGGTTAGCCATCAGATTGTACCTGAAAGAAATCGGGGAAATAAAATATATTTTATGCATAGAAGGAAAAATGGGTGTTGATTGACAATAGGAAGACAAAACCAGTCCTGCAGCTAACCTACCATCTACGTATCTATAATTAGAGATGGCAGTAGAGGCAGGTCATGCGAGAGAATATTCTTTTTAAGAAAATGTTGGGATGCCCCACTTCTGGGATTACACTGGGTATGTTCTTGTTGTTGGAAGAAAATTGTGGGGAAGGGCTGGTTGTGGCATTGTGGGCAAATGTTGAAGTAGGGAATCTATATCTCTAAAGAGCTATTCATCTTTTATGACAGCAGCAACCAAAGTTCATGACTGGTAATACCACCCACTGCCTGTAATTAGCCTTCAACATTATCCGTGTTTGAACCACTCATTGAAATCTCTCTACCAACAACTTTTTCTTTCCCCAAAATCAGTATACAATTTTACACAAGATAGAGAAAACGACAAGCTAAAATGAAGCTTAGAGTTCTTCAGATATTAAGAAGACGACATAAAGTTTAGGCACAACGTCATTCACAGAATTACATTTTAGATCACAATGAAAACTTAATGGTTTTTAATGGTATTATTGGTTTTGATATCTATTTCCATTTCCTTGATCTTTTGACAATCTTGAAGCATTATGTTGAACTTTTCTTAATGTTCACGATAGGTATGCTCAAACAGAAAAATGTTGCAGCATGCAGACAGTATGGGGCGGGGATTTTGCAGGAAGAAAAGAGGGTGTGCGGTGAAGAGGGGTAGTGTGGCACTGTTACAGCGGAATTCGAAACCTGCCACACCCTCCCCTATACAAAAAGCTTGTATGGTGAAGTGGGCGTTGTGACGCAGCATTGTTGCAGTGCAAGTTAAAATCTGCCACACCCAGCCCTATTGTCATTCCTAGGTGTGATGGTCCAATTGAGACACATACACTTAGAGGAACTCATGAAGCTCTGTGTGTGTGTGCGCGCGCATGTGTGTGG